CCGGCCGGCCGAAGCCGGGGGCCGGCCTGTGGCGCGCGGAGCCCGCGCCGGACTGCGCCTCTTTGGACCTTGAGGGGAAACATGCGTTTGGCTTGGATCGCTTGAAATTCTTAGTTTGGGATCCCCGCCCGCCTGCCTCTTCCGCCTCGCGGGCTTTCTTTTCTTTTTCCCTTTTTTTTGTTTGCCTTTCTCTCTCCGGGTCTCCTTTTTGACTCCCTCCCTCTTTATGCTCGCCCAGCCCTCCCCCAGCTGCTGAGAAGTGGGGGAGGGTCTTGGCCTCCAGGTTCCCGCCCCACCGGGGCCCGGGCGAGCATGGGGGGCAAGCAGAGCACGGCGGGCCGCTCCCGGGGCCCCTTCCCAGGGGTCTCCACCGACGACAGCGCCGTGCCCCCGCCGGGAGGGGCGCCCCACTTCGGGCACTACCGGACGGGCGGCGGGGCCATGGGGCTGCGCAGCCGCTCCGGCCACTCCTTTTTTCGGGCATGGGCATGGACCCCAGCCCGGCCGGGGGGGTGTCCTTTGGCCTCTACACCCCCGCCTCCCGGGGCACCGGCGACTCCGAGAGGGCGCCCGGCGGCGGAGGGTCCGCGTCGGACTCCACCTTTGCCCATGGCAATGGTTACCAAGAGACGGGCGGCGGTCACCATAGAGACGGGATGCTGTACCTGGGCTCCCGAGCCTCGCTGGCGGATGCTCTACCTCTGCACATCGCACCCAGGTGGTTCAGCTCGCACAGTGGTGAGTCCACGGCCGGAGGCCTCGGAGGGCGGAGAGCAGGGGAGGGCGCGCCGGGGGCCCGAACCGTCGCTCGCGAGCCGAGGTTTGGGTTATAGAGTGGTTATAGAGTGCACGACCCGCGTCCGTCTGCCTCCCCTTTGCTCCCCCATGCCGAGGGATGACTGGGTACCTACTCTGTAGAGGAGAGGCTGTCAGTGAGGCTGCGGGGCCGGGCGTGATAGTGCTCCAGGGGTGTGTGCACTTGTGGATGGACACCGTGAGCCCTTCCTGCCGAAGTCCCAGTCTTGACCTCAGCATCGGAGGGAAGAGGTCTCGTCTGGCTTACAGCAAGTCAGCCTGGGGCTTCCCTTCTCTGCAGCGTTTTGCCTACCTCACGGTTCACAGAGATGGAGCCAATTTGTGGATTCGGTGGTGTCTCCTAAACAAAGAGTGTGAAAAGAAAGAAAATTGGGGCAAGTGCTGCTTAGGTGAGGGCTCTGACCCGGGCTGGGAGAAGGGGGCTGCCCAGTTTTGCCACCAGATTGGAGATCTATGTGAGTTGTTGAAAATGGAGCAGCCTGGCACAGACAGGTGTGGCCTGCTGTATGAGGGCCCAGCCAGGGAGCCTCCCTCCGGGCTTTGAGGACCAGGGCTCTGGTCACCCGTGCTGCCTGCAGTGGGCTGGGCTCAGCCACTCACAGCCCTCCATTTTTTTTTCTTCTGCTTCATGTTAGGTGCCTGTCCTTCCTGTGAATCTGCATCTTTTTGTAACAGAGCCTGGCAAGGTGGGATTTTATGGCCTGGCTATTTGCACATGACAGGAGGAGAGGAGGGGTCAGATAATCTGGGTGAATTCATTTTGGCAATTTAGGGTGCTGGGCCAGCGGTTGGAGGAGGGTTTGCCAGGCTCTGCTGGGCAGGGCACTAAAGGCCTGGCGGGTGCTTCTGGAGGAAAACAGGTCTGTCTGCTTGGCTCTCCTGAGAAGCCAGGTCAGGCTTCTAGAACGTTGGTCAGAAGGGTGTAGGATCGCCGTTTGTTAATTGGCAAGTTGAGTTTTGAAGAAGTTACATAGACTGCTTTGGGTGAGTTGGGAAAATTTAGATACTGTGTAGGAGAGAGATTGCTCCTGTCCTTAAGGACTTGTGGGGAATCTCTATTGGGATCCTTGTTTTAGCTACTGTGAAATAGGGTAGGCTTTTGGATCTCTCAGTTTTGTTCTGTTTTTCTTCTGCAAATAGTTTTGGATTTTCTTTGTTTTGGGTTATGTTTATTTTTGGCAACTTTATAAACTTTAACTTGTAAAATATTTTTTTTTGAGGAAAGTAGTGACTAATTTAGGGTAACACTTGGAGGTGGCTTTTGAATTGCTAGGGTGGTATTTTAATCCCTGAACAGATCTCTGGCTATCATTGGAGCGTCTCTGACCTGCACCAAACACTCAGCCCTGAAAGAGGTGCAAGGTATGACTGCTTTTGGCACTCACGGGCATTTTAATCAGCATTAGACATCTTGAAATTAATCATCTTTCTTAAGAAATGTAGTCACAGTCAGCCATATTTCGTGAGATGATTGTGGTTAAGTTTTTTTTTAAAAGAACTGTAATTAGTATCTGGTTTTAAACTGAGAAGCATGGAGTAAGAAGTTTCTAAAATCACAGAATTTTGTGTGTTGAAAAATAATGTTATCACATAAGGGCATCAGTGGGAAGAGAAAAAGGGAATTCTCTCTTTGCTAAATTTTTTTAAGTGTGTCTCATACTAGAAAATTCTTTATCCTTCTCCTACTACCAGGTTCCATACTAGAGTTAAGAATTTACTGTTCCAAAATTTCACTGCTTGGCTATGAAGCCATTACTGTTATTATTATTATTACTATTTTTCATTAAGTTGTAGTGAAGGAACAGAGAAGCATGGAACCGTGGGGATACAGGGAGAGTAGAAGCATATTAATCTGTTAGGAAAAAGTGTCTGAAGTGTATGTGGGAGGCTGCTATTAATATTTTTGGGTAGTACGTTCTTTACTGTGTAGGACCTTGTCCTTTTGCAAGATATTGGGCATACCTGGTCCCACCTAGTAAATGCTAGGATTCTGCAGTTCAGTGTGTCACCCCCAAATGCCCCCATGAATTCCTAAATGCTGTTTGGTGGTGGAGTTTGGGGGTGGTATCACCCTGATTGAGAACCACTGCTTTAAGGATCTGTTCTTTTTTAAAAATTTATTATGATTATTATTTTACAACTTGCTATAGGGCACACGTGCCCCCTACCCCCCCACCCTCCCAGAGAGAGAGAGAAAATGAGAAAGTAAGCGGCCAGGTCTAGGACACAAACCACTCGGACCATGATCGACCATTGTGAGAGTCCAGCACCTTAACCACCATGCCACCTGCTGGCTCCAAGGATCTGGTTTTTTCCTTTAATTATTTTATTTTACTTATTATTATTTCTTTTACCTTCCTATAGACATCAGAGAGAGACAGAGAGGGGGAAAGTGAAAAAGCACGCCATCAGGTCTGAGACTCGAACCATGATCAGCCCTGTGGGAGCCCAATGCCCTAACCACCCTGCCACCTGCTGGCCATGGGATCTGTTTTTTTTTTAATTCATATAAAGCGATTTTTTTTTTTCTGTGCAGTTCATTGGAGATGAACCTTTATGTGCAGTAGTAGTTCCACTTTAACCCCTGAAACAGGCCACAGGATCTTCTGGGACATCTCTTTCTTCGCTTGTTCATTGCTACAAGAGAAACTCATTTCACTTTTGGAGCCTTTGAATAAGGTCTGGGCAGCGTTTGCTCTTGTGTTGTTAGTTTAGAAGAGTAAGGATTTCAATGTACAGCTGCCTAGGCGCCTGGAAGTTGAGGTGATGCTGCTGCTTATGTTTCCGAGGTGCTCGTGGAACTCTTGGGCACAGAGAACAGTTGTCAGGGACATGAGTGAGTGCAGTGTACAGGAGGCCTCAGAAAGAAGCCTTATGTGAGCCGTATCTGAAGGCAGAATGCTGGGGGTCCCAATCCAGTTCCTCTAAGTAGCTGTGATCTTGGGCTAGACACGTCAGCTCTCTTGAGCCTCATCTTTGTTATTTTTAAAATGGATGTGGTAATCCTCAGCAGCGGCAGCCTAAAAACGTTGTTCCCCAAGTCTCATGAGAGCAAATACCGCTGTCACATTTCTCTTCTTTCGGTTCCTGCACATGCCTGGCACATCCTGTTCCCTCTGCTTGGAATGCTTTTCCTGCCATTCTTCATATGAATGCCTTTTTCTCATCCCTTAGGCCTCAACTGAAATTTCTCCTGAGTCTTGGGCCAGCAGGTGGCATGGTGGTTAAGGCACTGGACACTCCCACATGGCCGACCGTGGTTCGAGTCCCGGACCTGGTGACTTGCTTTCTCACTTTCCTTCTTTCTGTGTGTTTGTCTTTCTCTGGTCAAATGAAAATAAATGAATGAATAAAATAAAATTAAATTAAATTAAAAGATTGGCTCTCCTGCTTTCTCTAGTCACTCTCCTGTTACCTTAATGGTTCTTAACACACTTCATAAGTATTTTACTTTCTTCCCTTTACAGTGTGATTAAGTTCTAAGCTCCTTGAGGGCCAGGCTATATGTCTCTCTCTTTTTTTAATAGGGAAATTTTTAATTTTCTTTATTATTATTATTATTATTATGTTTTAATTTGACCAGGGAGAGATGGGGGGAGTGAGAGAGAGGGTTCCATTCCCCAGGTCCAGGACTGGAAAAATGGTCAGCCATGTGGGAGTCCAGCGCTTTAACCACCACACCACCTGCGGGTCCCAGACTACGTCTCTTGAGCACCATGGTTACTCACAATGTGCCTGGCACAAAGATTTGTGGAGTGAATGAATTTGAGTGCTCTATGACCATCGTCTTGGAGGTGAGACTAGTTTTCGTCCATTTTACAGGTAGGAAACAGGTTTTGGGGGAGAATGAGGAAGCTGCACAAGGTCAGAGTAGAGGTGAGCTGGGTTAGGAACGTAGGTCTGCCTGTGCGAGAATGCGGGCCCTGGACATCGTGCTCTCCCGTTCCCATCCGGAAGGAAGTGGGGGAGAGCTGTGGGAATAACACCAGCTATGAATCAGAGGGCTTGGCTCCTCTCATGCTTGGGCTGCTCATTAACTAAGTGTCTGACCTGTGACTGGGGAAGTCCCTGAGTCTGGGAGCTACCGTTTCTTCTTTGCAAGGGGGAGATGGTCCCTGTCTGGCTCCCCTTGCAAAGTCGTCATGGTGAGGGTCTCATGAGATGGTGTTCACAAAAGCCCAAGGACATAGAAGTGGAAAGCAGGGGTGTTCCTTTGGGGCCACTGTAGTCCTGTAGCTCTCTGCTGCTGTTAATTTCCTTAAAATTCAGTGGGTAGAAAGGTTTAGGCTGTGTGACCTGAAGCCCTCAAATGGAAGCTCATGCCATCTCCGAAATGTGACCACCCTGTCCCGCTACCCCCCCACCCTCCCAGAGAGAGAGAGAAAATGAGAAAGTAAGCGGCCAGGTCTAGGACACAAACCACTCGGACCATGATCGACCATTGTGAGAGTCCAGCACCTTAACCACCATGCCACCTGCTGGCTCCAAGGATCTGGTTTTTTCCTTTAATTATTTTATTTTACTTATTATTATTTCTTTTACCTTCCTATAGACATCAGAGAGAGACAGAGAGGGGGAAAGTGAAAAAGCACGCCATCAGGTCTGAGACTCGAACCATGATCAGCCCTGTGGGAGCCCAATGCCCTAACCACCCTGCCACCTGCTGGCCATGGGATCTGTTTTTTTTTTAATTCATATAAAGCGATTTTTTTTTTTCTGTGCAGTTCATTGGAGATGAACCTTTATGTGCAGTAGTAGTTCCACTTTAACCCCTGAAACAGGCCACAGGATCTTCTGGGACATCTCTTTCTTCGCTTGTTCATTGCTACAAGAGAAACTCATTTCACTTTTGGAGCCTTTGAATAAGGTCTGGGCAGCGTTTGCTCTTGTGTTGTTAGTTTAGAAGAGTAAGGATTTCAATG